ATTATGACTCCCCGAGTCTAAATACATCACACACTTTTACGTTTAAGAGGCAGAACTGTCAGACAGATCATCATAAAAGCCAATGTCCCAGTGAAATTCAAAGGCACTAACACCTTCGAATCTTTATGTTACCCTGGAAAATTAGACGAGTACTTTCCAAAAATGCATCCAGTAATGGATCCTCTTATGCAGGTGAGAATTTTCTGTCCTCAATATTTTCAGAACTTTTTTTTAAACATTTGAATTAAATACGTTATAAGTAGCATTTATAAAGGGAACATTAACTACTTAACACAAAACTCTTCTCTTCCTGTTAGGCAATTTGTGTTCTTAGAAACAATACGTCTAATGCACTTTTTGAATAGCATTTTAAAGTTACAGGCTTGTATCCTTTTAGTAAAACTAGCTCTCTGCTCTGCTTCCATCCATGACAGTTAAAGGACCATGGTAGAAAGAACGTAAAAGATAACTTTCCAGAGGTTTTGAGATTCTCTCAATTTAATAGACTAACATGTACCAATTTTAATCTATAACTTGCAAATGCCGTTTTAGAACTGCAAAAAAATTTTCCTTGAATCTTCTCTTTTCACATTGTGCTTTCAAGGTGTCAGCAGCACCACCACACAGAAAGGAAAGGAAGCGTGTACAGAACGCCTGCTTTTCAGGGTGATCGCAAAGGAACATCACACCACTTACATCACAACTCTGAAGAAGAAAAATCTAGCATTAACTTGGCTTCCTAAAGGCATCAGGGGTATGCAAACATGGCATATAGATCAAGCGCCTCTCCTTCTCATCCTCAAAATAAGTTTTGAGGCACCCAAACTCAACAACAAAGTAAATGTTTCAAAAGGCACGTTCATGCTGTCAGCTTGCTTTGTCTCTGTTCTAAGTCCCAAATTCACGACTGTTTATACTGCAGCTTAGCTCCGCTGTGCTACAAGTCATATAGCTCCTTTTGATGAGAAACCAAAGCATGAACTCTAATAAAGTCCATGACAATCTCAAGACACGACAGAGGCTCCTAGAGGCTGCTTTTATTTAAAGAATCTAAGCTGTCTAGGAACAAAAAAATAATAGGATAACTATCATACCATGGTGTGCTCTCGCTGACATCACATACAGAGACAACCTATCGTTCTGATGAGCTCTGTGGTTGAGCAGTATGTATAAAGGCCACCTTGTCCTCTAGCACAACACTCAGGAGAGCAGCAACTTCACCCAACAGCTTTTGCAGGCCGGAAGACAGATGCAAATGAGCACTCCCCCATAAGGCCAGTGAGCAGGGCTGGATCCAGTTTGACAATTAGTGCGTGCACCACAGCCAGCAAAACAGAAAGGGAATCCAATCCAGATCAGATCATCTCATGCCCACTGGAGGTCAAGGGGAACACAGAGGAGAACCAAATTCATTACACAGAAGAGAGGGGGATCTTGGTGTATTTAAAGGGAAAACAGAACACTCATCTAAAGGAAACTAAGCTTTATACTTCTGCTACTCACAGAACTATATATTTAAATGCCTCAAAAGCTATAAAAGAAGTCAACCTAGAATATTTTGCACTTGAAGGCATAATAAAAATCTCACAAAGAAGCCATGGCAAACAACACTGCTATGCTAGATTAAAACAGAAGTTAAAATAACAGCTTCATGACCAAAGAAATATTTGCTGCCATAAACAAAGTATTACATGAATACACATCATCTGTTTCTTGAAACTAAACCACATACTTGCAACATACATCAGATAGCAAGCATGGAAAGGGAGTGAAAGGACAGAAAAGACAGGGTAGGGAAAAGAGGATCTTCGGGAACGATCCACAGCTGAGAGGTGAGAACAGCCTTCCCATAGTCCACTTTTACATTATCGGACAGATTACCTTTATACAGACAAGCGGGTGCCAGTGGGACATGACAACGCTGGCCTCTGCAGCCTCTGCTGGCTTGCCTTCCCTCCAGAGTTAAGATTCACACCACCCCGCAGACCACAACAGTGTAGTGCCACCAGTAGTCACGGCATAGAAAGGAAACTTGAACAGCTCACTAGCCACATGTGGCTACAGAATCAGAGTTTGAACAAAATAAACTGTACTTGCATGTATATGTATTTAATGCACCTCCAGCTGCAATATTTGTGGGAACAGGTGAACAACAATAGCTGTTGGTATGAAAACGTAGCTAAGATGTTGTTGGTTTTTTTTTGATGAGAGCAGTTGCTTTGTGAACGTGACAGTTAACAATTGGATTTACATTTTCATGCCTGAACCAGCAACGTTTGTCTGGGTTTACAGCATTGAGTCATTTCTTTGATGAATAGAAATTCCTCTGGATGATTATTTCAATACCTTCCAGAAGTCACCCAACCAGGAACCAGTTCTAAAGTTTGATGTAAAAGCCAAGAAAGCAATAGTAATTTGCTGTAGCTAATAATTTACCAACCTTATTTCTAGACTAACTCTTTAGGGTGACGACAGTGTTGAGATGTAGCACAACAGGTATGATGCAATGTACCAGCATTATGCCGGATTTCCTCCCCCTCCCCGCCCCGAAACATTTTAAACCCATGGAGCAGACCCGCCATCTTTATTTTATGAACTCCCTAAACAATTTGTCTTTTCAATTTATAAGGAAGAAACACTTTTGCTTTCCACTGCAAGCCCAGTTGCTGGAGAATTTATAAAGAAAATAGTCCTTTTTCAATTTGTAATTTGTTTCCACTTTTGAAAACTTGGGGGGAAAAAACACAAAACAAAACAAAAAAACAGTTCGTAAGAACTGAGCAAGCACTTCATACAAGTAACCATAGGGCTTTAAAAAGAAAATGTGGAAGAATAGGTTTAAAGAGTTTACCTAATTTAGAGGACTATTATAAAGCTTGAATTGCAGGAAAGTTCAACATTTCCTATCCCATATTTCACTAAGATTCTTCAAGTACCTAAAATACAGGCACACATTTAAGTATCTTAGAGAACTGGGCTCCTTTCATTTAGCACTTAACATTCCTACCTGGTAGGCACTCCAAAAGTGCAAAATATAATTGGTAAACAAGCTAAATACATGTTATAATAGCAGGTGCAGAATCTTTCTTCTCTTGTAAAAAGTATTTAATTCTTGTGCATATTTAATGATTGCAGCTGCATATTTATGAGACAAATATATATGCAAGACAAAATTCCCAAAGGCACAGAATAAGCTCTTCAGTCACACGTCTCTATCTAGACTAGAAACAAATTACTGAAAGCTGACATTTAAATACTCCTAAATTCCAGACTTTAAATCTCTGTTAGTAAATAAAAGAGAAAAATCTAAACTGATACGCAGTAAAACCTCATTACTCCCCCCAAACAAAAAAACTAATGATGTAAGAAATAATAGTTCAATTGTAATGTTCCCCTCCAGAACATTTCAGGTATGATGTCAGCAGATGTAGAGATGCAGGACATCCTACTTTCAAATAAGTAGGAAAAGTAAAGGTCTTCACATTTAGGAACTACAAAGACTACATATTGCTTCTATAAATGCCACATAAATTTAAAAATTTGACCAAAAGACAAAGTATCATGCAAGTACTCTTTACTCAGTATGCAATTATATGATCTTAAGAGAAAATGGTTCTCAAATCATTTAACAGAAACCACATTTACCTTTTAACTGTGTCACGGTAGCTAAATAATTACTTTGAAATGTTATAAAACACTTCTACTTTCACACAGCTAAAAGACTCAGTTGCCAATGTAAGCAAAGAATATTTGCATGACACATGACTATCAAGCATACTAATTTAGTTTTAGAAAAGCTCGCAGTAGGATGCATCTTATACTATCTTAAAGTACAACCTGTCAGAGCTGTGGGACCCGCAGTTGCTCATACAAGCTGGACTGAAATAATGGAAGCAGACCAGAGGCAGGCTTACATAACTCCGCCGAATCCAAATGAAAGCGTAATTAGTAAATCTGAGACTTTCTGAACTAGGTTTTATTTCTGTATCTCATAGCCTCTTTCTGCTCTCTTCCACAGCTGGCATATTGGAGGGACTAGCTACTTGGAAAGATTGGCTATTCATCTTTCCTTAACCCACTCATGTTGCCCGATTTGGAAGCCAGCCCAAATACCTTACAAGAGATCAGATTATTCTTCATCAATAGAAAAAGAGGTTCTACTAAAAAAAAAAACAACAATTTTAGGAAGGGATCATCTAATTTTGTCATTCCATCGCCCTCTGTGTTCAGAATAAGCTTCCCCTTGATATTCAAAAAGCTTATTGGTCTAATAGGCATGTTTCATCAAAAAATTCATTTAACGATTATTAAAAATTTTATTTTAATTTTGTTTAAAAACAAAGACTGTTTAAAAACAAAGACAGCATAACAACCTGAAAGGCTTTGCTTTCTAAACATCATTTCTAATTGATTTTTAAAGTTCTTAAACCAACAATTTTTATCCTTAAAAACACTTATTTCCCCATCCTCCATCACTTAAATGAAAATTGAGACTGACACATTCTCAGCTCAGTGACTATGTACTCAGTGTGCGGTCTTTCCCCTAATTCTGGACTCCTGAGAAGTTTCACATAAATAAAAGTGTTAATGAACTGGTATTAACAATATTATCAGTTAATTATCAATTAACTGAAATTAAAGTTCTTCAAAAAGTCATCACCTGTTTTGAAATATTAAAGAACGCGCATGGGAATAGACTTTAAACTCAGACTAACAGTTCAACAATCTGATTTAGTGTGTGGCACTGGAGAAAACGTTTTCTTCCTCCTAAAAATATGACTGCAGAATATTTTAGGACAGATCCCATTTGCACACCATTTAATGTGATATGCAGATTTTGTATTTCATAGAAAAAAATAAGAATAGAAAAATGTAAAACTAATCAAAACAGAACTATACAACCTTACTGAAATGTTACCAATATCAATTAAAACATGAAATATTCTTGCAATTTGGCCAAGTTTGCTGGAAAAAAAAAGGAAAAAGAAGAAAAAAAAAAATCACTGCCGGCCTGCTTTTCCATTTTCCGTCGTTTCCATTCTGAAATGCAAGAAGATGCCTGGTAAGGATGGTCATACAGTTTACTGGAAATACAATCAACAAATTAAAAAGGAAAAATCAAATACCTATCTCTACTTTTTCTTCTATACACATATTCTGTTTACTTTATTAACCATCCTGTCTCTCCTTGCCCGCACATACACAACCTTATCTCATCTTAGTAAGTGAGCTGCAGATAAAGGAAAGTTTTCTGCCAATAAACTTTCCAGCAACAACCACTATCCATTATCAGCCTCATCAAAAGACAAAAGCCTCGATTCATGTGATTGCAGAGAATCTGTTTTTTTAAAGTTTGAGCTTTAGCAGTTTGTGTCAAGGCCTTCATTTTCACCCCTTTTACCCTAATCACTGACTGCTACCCATTTTACTTACTTAACAGGATGGTTGTTTTGTTTTGTTTTTTTTTTGGGGGGGGGGTCACTTGTTTGGGTCTTTTTGGTAGAACATACACTATTTTATCAACTTCACTGCAGCATGCTATAAGATTTATTATCTACAATATTCTTATATTAAATATTATTTTGGAAGCTAAACCAAATAATAGACTGACTTAAAATGAATCTGACTTTGGTTACCATTTAAGCCCTGGAAGTTTAAGAATTTTGCTGCAAGGTTAATCATTATTCCACAGGAAAAGTCATTGATCAGCATTTACCCTTGCTTGACAGGGAGGCAGACTTCAGTGAAAGAGGTCCTAACAACTAAGGAGAAACACTACTGAAGGTCCCTGTCAGTAAAAAGACAAAGGAATATATTTGTATAATTTAATCTATAAAGACTAAGGAGCTTTTTTTTTTTTTTTTTAAAGCTGTAACAAAAGTATTCTTTCATACTGCATATTGGCTACCAATAAAATATTTGTAGTAATGCATTTAGTGATACAAACCCATTTTCTTCTTTCAGATGTTGATACAACTCAGCTTTGTTGTTGACAGAGTTCAAACGACCAATAAATTCTTGATGTTTCCTAGAATTGGCAGTATTAATCCTGTTGCTCCACAAAGACAGCAAGGACATTGGCCCTAAAATTGGATGTGAAATTAAAAAAGCGCCCATGTGATTTAATTACTGAATTCTTAAACATTACAGATTACGGCAGTACGTTAAAAACACAAACATTAAAAAAACCTTATGATGTAGGCTAAGTAAATATGATATATGCAAATATATAGAAGATGAGCAATTGTTTTGTATGAGATTGACTTGGCTCCAAATGCAGACTCTTAATCACAGCTCAGCCATCATGAGTTCAAGGAAGAGAAGTCAGCAAGCACTGCCCCTTCCAACTACTATATCGCCTAGGCACATTCATTATTATTAGCAGAAGAAATCTATTTTGATACCTATCCTTAAATACTATTTCAGATGTATACTAGCTCATCTAGCACAGGTAGGAATTTGTCCAAAGCCCTCTTTAAAAAACCAAATGTCTATTATTAGGCCCACACAATACATTGTTATCTCTCTGTCTTTCTGTATAGCTCTATCAGGTGTTGACATATGTATTTACCAGTATATCTCAACACTCAATGTCTTAATTAAAAATTCTTACGGATTTAGCATTAACTCCAAGAAGATTCACTTCATTACTTCAGAAAGTACAGACTGAGACAAGAACTTAAGTTTTCAAAAAGAAAATACTGTTTTTTCGACTTACCTTTTGCCTTTTCCACTGTGGGCATTTCATCCATTGTAATAAGAGGCTTTTTGTTGGGTGGTTCAGGAGAATCAGGGGAATCTTTTATAACTTCAGCTTCTGCCAGTTCTTCCTTTTCACGATCCAAAAGACTTTTTAGTCTTTTTAAGGTGGGAAGAAAAACAAGAAAGCAAGATACGCTAGAGCAGCATATTTGATTCCTAATGCCATTCTGTACCTTTCAAAGTTACACACAACTCAGGTCAAAAGACATTCTCTTAGGACCTATGTGATGGGTGAAAACAATAAGGAAGACTCTAGCCAAATAATCATCTGGATAAAGCCTAAAGTAATAGGAAGGATCTTAAAATATAATTTCACTTAACTCAGTCATCAATATTTATACGGTGCTCATTGATACTAGCTGATCATTCTGAGTTTTAAAGGAAAAACTGAGTAACAATCAACATGGAAAAAAATACCATAATCTGACAATGGCTTACTATTTTTTCCTATGTTACCCAAATTTAATTTATATCAAATTACTTTCGTTCTCAATCCCTGCTTTTGTTTCACATGTGAAAGTAAAATAAACTGTAGCAAAGGATTTGATCATATGCAGAAAGGCATGAAGGTCAACAACACAGTGACGTTAAAGTAGGTGAAACTGTCTCCCCCGCATATGACCCCAGCATGCACAAAACCATACAAGCAAATTGAGCCTACTACCATGACCATTTTTTGATCTCTTTAAAAATAGTAGTTTGAAAGAGGGAAAACAGAAGAGATTCACAGACACTTATCAGTTATAGGAGCTGCAACAGTGATGTAAATTACAGACAGCAGATACATGAACAAAAAGTCTTGATGTTCAGCTAAAGAGACTGGGCAAATAAATCAGGGTTGTCTATCTACCTGAACATTAAAGTACCTGCAGTTCAGGCCAAATTAATGGGTGTTTATCCACAATTTTCAGTCACGCTTGTAAGACTAAGATGCTTCTAAAAGACGTACAACTGAAACGTTAGTTGAATACATGCTGAGGTTACAATAAAACTCAAGAGTAGCTCCCCAAACTGCAAAGCCATACTAAGTGTTCAGCAACCCATCTAAGAGTCATACTCCTCTTACAATGTTTTATTTGAAAAGCCTGATAAGCAAGCACAGTAATAAGATGCACGTTTTCAAGCTTTTTAATAGTGACTGAACAAAAAAACCTTGGGATTCACAATCATCATCGTAAGCCACGGTTGCAAGTATGAACAAATCAAATGGCAATCTGTAACTGTTTCACAGTAATTCCTCTTCCCTTTGAGGTAGAGCAGAACAAAAGTTGTTATGCTAAAATCTTACTTTATGTCAGAAAATTTACCTTTCTGATTCTTGCCATGGCTTATCTGGTTCATAGTCTTTTCCTGACTTTTCTGACTTGTCCTCTTTTTCTTCTCTCTTTCTACCTCTTTTCTTGCGCTCTTCTTCTTCTGGGGGTTTGCTTCTGCAAGCCATCAAACATTCTAAGACTCGCTGATGTTTATCAGAGTTGTTTATGTGTGCTCGCACAAGGGTCTCCAATTCATTCCACATAATCCGGTACTGTTCGTCTCTAAGTCGGGGCATTAAAAAAAAAAGGCCATTACACACAGGATGACCGAGATCATTAATACACTGAATAAATCACGGTTTAAAGTAGAATACAAGACATCAAAAAACCCACAAAAGTAACCTCAGATAGGTTCTTTCTCCTTCTCTTGTACTAGAGGTCTGTTCACATTGGATTACTCTAGCCTTGAAACTTTCGGAACCACGTTACAGGTAGCACTCCTCAATTTACAGCCGAAGAGTTAAGTCTTGATTGAAATATACTACTTCCACTGGAATCAAATTCTTAACTTTTGCAAGATCACACAGCCAAAAGGCATTTCTGAAGTGTGCAAGTTGTCCGGTAACTGGGGAATCAAGCAATGTTAGAATATGCAGAAGGCCACTCACGTACTGACATGCAAATGAATTATTTAATTCTTTGACTAAAGAAAATTAGAATTATATCAGGTTACAGTAAAGAACTTCAAGTCACACTGGCATCTTTTCCAGCTGAATCTTCTTTTTGGCTAATTGTTGGAAATACAACATACACATCACTATTAGAATGTGTTAGGGATATAACAGGACATTCTCCGTTTGCTTTAAAGGAGTATTCCATATTTCAAATAACTCTTTCAAAATGATTTAATATAACACAATTAAATATATTTAATTTACAACATGCTTAAATTTCCTTTTGTATCGATTTGAAATTATTCCACTTCCTCTGTCCTAGCTTGCATCAGACTCTTACCTTTATGTTAAAAAAAGCAAAGAGAATCATCCTCACAATTTTTCATAATGAAATGCTTGTCTTCTAACATACAATATCAATACCATGACAGCTCTGAAATGATGTAAGCAAAGGACTCACAGCACTTATTTTGCATATGTATATTATTTAGTATGCTCCATATTACTATTGACAAAACTATGAAAATTTACATGAAAACAACGTAAATGGAAAGTTTCTGAAAGAAGTTCAGCAACAACAACAACAAAAAGTATTTAACCTTTTTGGACCCTTTCCCCTGGTGCCAACTGTTGAAATCGGCAGCGGATCATTTTTCCTCTCCATATCTACTAAATTGTATATTGTTTTTTGACAGTTCAGAACATCCTCATCTGTCATTGCATCTTTTACAATCACACTGGCTAATGGCACTACCTGCAATACAAAACAAAAGTGAACAGGGAAATCTGTATACGCTGCAGGAAAGAAACAAGAAAAAAAGAAATCAAAGACCTGGAACCACACCCCACAAAAACAACACTTTTTCCCCCTGAGTTTAGTAATAACTGTCAGCAGGTATAAGCATATGCATTTTCTCACACCCACTGCAATCCAGTGGCTCTGCAATTAAATCAGTTCCAAATATTCCACCCTATTTCGATTACATTCTAATACTTGAGTTACTCTAGAATATTCTAGAGTATTTAAATGAAAAGAGAACCTAAAATAAACCGATTTTGTTGCAAGTGATTTATTGTTCTTATTTCATCACGTAATAAGTTGAAACTTACTCTAGAACAGAATAAAAGGTTACAAACCCCCAGGTTACTTACAGCTTGCATGTTGAATATGGTAGTCTGAGAAATAATCATAGGCCAGTAGCGAGTATGTTTCTCTAACTGATCTTTTGCACGTTCCAATGGAATTTCAAGACTTCCATCGATCTTATATCTGGGCTCTAGAAAAGGAGTTAATCGGTTTTCCCTCATAAATTCACCAAAATCCTAATGATAACCAAACAAGATAAAATTAGGAATTTCTCTAATAAAGTAACTTTCACTGAATGGGTCAAACAGCATAGTCTTATCATTGCGTGTACCACCCCCACGCACTAAACTCTACCCTAACAACCAGAGACCTGTTTCCAGCTTTCAGATGTACAACTAACGTACAACTAACTGAGATGAACACATAACTAATTCTATGAAAATATCGGTTAAAAAGTGTTGCAAGGTTTTTCATGAGGAGGCATTCTGGATCTGCAAGATAGCTCATGTATAGTAAGAATTTTATTATGTACTTCTGGAAACCACCTCTGATAGTATACAACAAATGCAAAGGACATTGGTTAAAATATCAAAGGAAAAAAAAACCTGAATACCAGCAGATTGTTTGCTGCATATGCAGGGTTCAAAGCTGACAACTTCACCTTTTCGATTTATTCTACAAGCCATTCACGCATAATCTGTCTTTCTGACAATGAGCAGAACAGTCTTATCTGCACCCAAGAAAATGGTATTGCAGAATCAGAAAGAATTTTAAGTGTTCATAGTGCATAAAGGCAGCAAGTATTACTTCATATGGAACGGATTCTATAAAGCAGACATTACAATAAGCAGACATACTACTTTGTACTAATACCTACCAATAGTACAAAGAAAATCAGCTGATTGTGTCATATAATCCACCCAGCACTCCAGAAAACATAACACTTCCTATACGGGACACCTATTTGTCATCTGAGATAAATGACAAATTAAAAGCAAAGAGAATCTTACTGTAATCCTGTAGTCTGTGACTCTTCCACCACACCCTTCACTAATTGATGGGGGATCTTCTAGAATTGATCGTGAGCTGCTTAAGACATGCAGAAAAATTTCTCCTCCATGGCTGCTGAGCATGTGACTAATTACTTTAGAGCCAGATTTCCGTGGTTGTTCCAATAAAACAGAACGACCTATCGTAAGCAAGATCAGTTTGGTTAGTTACCGCATGCTGCGATTTTAAATTAAAAAAATATATATATATATCCAATAATGCAGGTTTGTACCTGACCATCAAGTCTTTTAATACATGTGTTTTCACCTAGTTTGAATGAGAAACAGCTATTTCCTTCGAGTATTTAGTCCCTATCCTTAAACAGGATACAGCATCAAGTATTCTTAAGTTTTACAGAGAGAGGAATCAAAAACCTCCTTCCTGTGACATCCCAATAGTTTTCTGAACAGGACATGCCTTTTAGGGAAATATACATTTAAAATGCTACACTGTGTATAGGCAGCTTAGTATTTTTAAGCATTAAAGGTGATGCTGTATACGAAATTGTTATCTGGCCATTCTACAGAAACTTTCTCATTAAAGGCAATTTCAAAAAGTTACAGCTTGTTCAGGGACAAAGATATCAATTTATGCTATTTTTGTACTTAAAATGATACAATTTTTCAGACACACAGAAATAAAACTGGCTTTGTCTACTGTCCAATAAGTACACTCAACTCAATTCAACTCAAAAGTGCAATCTCCAAGTAAGTTTTGTTTGTTACGAAGAAACAAAAATAGAAGATAAGAAGAGAGAGGTTACTTGAAATCACTATTCATTTTGGTTCTAGCCATTTTTATCAACCACGGTACTTTTCCAGTATAGAATTTTTAGAGAAAAGTCAATAAAAATATAGTGTTTAAGAAAAAACACTGCACATTCATTTAGACACACAACTAACCTGACTGAAGAAAACATCCCATTAAAAGGATGTTTGTAATGCAACCTTTCTTGAAAACTGCAAAAAAACCCTGTATGTAATTAACATTGATATATGCTACATGTTTGAAAGTAGCAGCTTTGGCTTACCTTTTTAACATGTACTTAAACGACAGCCTCTTATAGCAAGGTAATTCATGGCAACAGTTAAAATCTTGCAGGTAAGCAAACGATAACTAAATTGATCTAACCTGCCTTTTGACTGACGCTAAGACATGTAAGCATGTCTGTTTCAATCAAGTAACATACTGTCCTACCCAATTAAAAGAGAGCTCGGGGGCTGCCTATCACCAGCTAAAATCAGGCACGGAGTTAAGCTGCTAATATTTTGCAGTAGGCAAACAGAGTAAGCACTGTGATCACCTACTGGAAGCAATGTTTCCTACTAAATCGGATAAAGTGAGAAGTATTCCACATTTGGAGTCAGAAGAAAACTACCAGAATTCAGTACTTGCTCCTTCTTTACTTTCCAACTTCGCTCTCATTTTAGTTTCAAAACATATTCTATTTGCTTTTAAGTACACTTAACAACTTTCTTCTTTTATTTACATATGACAAATACATCCAACTTTTCTTTTTTAAACAGTGTGTAGATATATGTTTTGAGTGGTATAACAACAGTATGATAAATGCTCTACTTACAATATTAACTACCAAAACTTTAAAATAGCTAGCCAAGAACATAAATTTACCATTAAGGAGAAAGTTAGTAAGGCATGAAGAAGGTCTGCTATTTACATCTACAGGGGAAATTCTGTACGCTCCAGTGCAATAGTGTAACTCTGAAAAATAAATGAATAGAAAGTTTGAGAGGCTAGTTCCAAACAGAAGAAAAAGCATACTACAAAAAAAAAAAAAAAAGAGCAAAGGGGAGGAGGCTACTCCACAAACAGCAGAACAAAAAAGCCTTGCTGCCTACAGATTCACAGATGTGCCTCTTTCAACCTCTCCTTGAAGTCATCCCAGTTGGATCTGTTCCCAAAACTCATACATTCCTAAGCCCTATTTCCAGCTGTACCTCTAGTTCTTTCCTGTATCCCCTAAATCATTTCAATATGGGTTCAATCTCCTCTTACTTCTCTCACCTACGCTCTTGACCTGCTGGCTTGTAAAAAGTCAGCATATGTTGTTGATAATCTACACAATGCATGGGCTGACTACTCAAGTCGTTCTTATGTTAGCCCAAATCTTTCCTGCCTTCCTCTCAGTAGGAGAGAAAGTAGAGATCTCGCTTTTACTCAGACTCAAAAGTTACTGCAGAGGGGATGGACAAGTCTGACAATATCATAAACAAACAAAAAAAATGAAACTTCTCATTTTCTTGCAAAACTTTTTCCTTATCACTCTAATACTTTCATTAGAGTACTTCGATTTAATTATTTTTATTGAAACAAGAATTAAGGGGGGAGGGGAGAGCAGGAAGGTAGTCAAGGTCTCAAAGCTGCTATGTTAAACACTACTACTCTGGAACTGAAAGGTAAACTAAAAGAAAGAGCATATGGGAGAGGGGCAAATAACTACTGAACATCGTCATAGTCAAGGAATAACTTAATGACACTTCAGAGGAAAAAATACATATGTGTATATACCCTCTCATCTCTTACACAAATCATTAGTTAGCCAAAATCAGAAGACCACTAGTAAAGCAGGGTGTAATCAGCAGCAAGGTATACAGAGCAACAGGTAAAACAGCATTAACCACCAGGGAATTATCTCCTTGAGTTACCATGCTACCTACCAACACTATTTGTTCGAGGAGTACACCATTTTAATGTTACAGTTTCTTTAAATGTGCCTTCTCTGCTATTGCCACCTGTATGATTATCACCTGCAATATAAAGTCAGAAAAACTGTGTCATAACTTGATCAACCATATTTATTGTTACACAGAAAAAAAAACCTAGCAAATAATTCCTACATAAGCACGAAGTGTTACTGAAAAAAAAAAAAGGCTTAAAATACAAACTAATTATAGCATGACCATACACAACACATAATGTAGTTTTAAAAAACTTAATTATCTAACATAAATGAAAAAAACTTTAGGTTATTTAGCAGTAGCATTTTGAAAAAAAATAATGTTTTAAATGGGCAGCTGTACATAGTTTAGAAATCAAATAAGCAAACATAAAACACTACAACTCCAGGATATGTCCCATATGCTCGATCTAACAATTAAAACAAAAAGTATCTACAACTTTCTATCTGTAAAATGAGTTATTGTTTTCTTTAAAAGGCAGAGCAGTCTTTAACTTTCTACGTAGGAAGTATGAACCCTTAACAAATGTTAGGGCCCTTGTTTAAAATTAAAATATTCTTGTAAGAAATGATTATGTATTATATCCCAAAGTCAAAACTGAAACTGATCTAAAGGAACATTTGACTATTTGGCCTTTTGAGGGGGAAAAAGTATTTTTTCTTATCATCCAGCATCTTTGCTATTTCAGAATCAAATTGAATGTTTCTCAACATGTTTTACTGGCAATAGACGTTTCAACATTAAAATACTTTCATGTAACATCTCATTGATAACTGGCCTGGCAGAAACCACATAAAGGCATTAAAAAAAAAAAAAGGCATCAATACTTCATAAGACATTCAGTTACATCCCTGATAGTGAGTTGTCTGCTATTCTTCTTTAGCAAACCTATTATGCAAGGAAAGGTTAACAGAGTTTTACATGAAGCCTTGGAATTACAGTAGCACAGTCACTTACAAAATAATATATTCAATTGCACAGTAATCTGTGAGGAATTAGACACATACATCAACAGACAACACTATTATGTTAAAAGTTTAATCTAATGCTCCAAGTAAGAAGTTTCCTTTGATTTCAGAACACAAAGGCATATTTACTTATACATGATTTGTGCGATTTGCTCATCATTCATGCAGGTAACATGCAGAAGTTGTATTTTTATCCTTGCTGAAAGCTTGCAGTTGTTTTAAAACAACTGGAATCATTTTAGAAAATCTTTCTCAGAATATCTAAAGGACAAATCTATTTATCTAAAAATTCCCTAGCAAGCCATTTCACACAAATAAGATCCAACTAATTGAATTCCCACTTTCCTGGTACCAGATTTATTGTAGCTGAAAGAGATGCATTAAAAAAAAAAAAAAAAACCAAAGAACTAAAATTTACAGGAATTAAAAATACTGTTTACTCCCTTAAATTTCCAATGGAAAAATTCTGAAGCAGCATTTTAGCAGGTGTTTGGTTTTGACTTTTACTAAGAAACTTGAGTCTTTGAGCCAATAGGTATTATGTAACTATTTCAGAGTCCTTCCAATAAAGCTTCACGCTTTCAACTTGAATAATTGGAATGAATAAAAAAGTTCATGTCAGTCTGAATGCATTATTTTAATTATTCCATTCTTTTTTCCGCCCCCTCAATCTTTAATCATATATGCCACTAAAACATGGAAGATATTAATTGTAGACGATAACGAGGAGTTATCTTCTCCCTAAGCAGTGATATTCCCTTTATCAAAAAATAATGCACAAAACCAATGGAATGTCTACTTAATGGACCAAACGATTTCAAATTTCAGGAAAGAAATACCCACTCGACTTCGTTAAATAACTTTGGCATAGGTAATGTGTATGTTAAAATATTATTCTTCACTTCTTGTAAGTTAAACCAGTATCAACTTTCGAATACGTTGTAAAGTTTCATAATCTAGTTTTTGCATAGTAAAGCAAGTATCTATAGCCTGTATCTAAATACATGTTTTCTACACAAAGAGGAAATCACACTAAATTCTTAACAGTACTGCAGCGGTACTGAATCACATAAGAGAAGCTACAAGCTGTGCTGTAAGAAAAAAACAAAACACATACAAGCCTTTAGAAGCTTCAAATGAGACTTCAGCACTTCTGAAAACGCATATAGTTTCAGTATTCAACAACACACAGGCAGGTTGAGGCTTTTTTTTCAGCTGGTTGGTTTTGTTTTTAAATACCACCAATGTAAGAATTTTTAACCTCACCTTCCTTACTAACAAAATCTCCTATCAAATAATGTCTCCTGAACAAAATAGTTTTGCATAAGGCTTATTATCACTGTGTTTTTCTAACCTCAATTAAGTGAAGTCATTCAAAAGTTCACCCCTGAGAAGATCATTAGGTAATAATTCCAAAGTACAAAAGGATACTAGGTACTCCAAATACCGTGAGAAAGTTCTAAAGCCAAATAACTCATCTTTCTCAAAGCAATTACTGTCATAAATAGGTCTAAGGGATGTAACTGATGTTAATTATTACTACCTACCAGCCTGATTAAAAACTCAGTCATCCTCACATACTGGAGAGCAGCTACTGTCTCCACATAAATTGAAGCAGAGCCATGCAGAAATGGAAGTTTACAACAAATCTTTGAACAGGGACATTACTTAGAATAATTATTTTAAGATACGCTGGTTTAGAATATTACCTTTCAGCTCATTAAATGTTGTTAATTGTCTGCTTCTTAAAAGACGGATTTTTTGTTGATAATTTTGTCCGAGATAACGTTCAGACACTTTAAATAGCCCTTACAGCTAAGCAATTTCTTTGTCATTACCTATTAGCATAGTTGCTGTCCCTTAATTTTGGGCTCAGCTTCTGCCAGTCATGCTTCCAACAAAATGACAGGAATAATTTTTCCATAAATACCCACGGAGTTCTCTCTTTTGCAAAAATCACTGGTGTCTCAGACAATCTGTTTCGCACATCTCAGTAATAAGCTGAAATGCCTCCTTATAAACCATACACATAGAAATCCTGTGAGCATATGAAGCTTGGTCTGATGCCTCTGACCTGCTTTTTTCCCCACTGTTATGTCACTATTACTATTTTTAAAATATGCCAGTAATTAGGAATACTCCAAAAACCAATGCTACCAGTCAAGTTGTTGAGTTGTAAACAACAACTGAAAATAACCTGTTTTCATATAGATTTCTACTTAACTAATCATGCCTGAAATTTACATCAGTTTAAAGCTCATAACCTACCTTTGAGAGTACTTCCAGTATCCCAATTAAAAAAAGCCACAGAAACCACCTTTAAAAAATTATTTCTACTTACCACTCTTTAAAAAGTCAACGTGTGCCTCTTTGTGATGAAGAAGCTCCACATCATAGTTGGCTGATGTGTTGGCATGTTGTTCTTCCTTTAAAAGAGAAAGGCAAAAATAATAGTTATTTTAACCAGAAGTTACTGCTTTCATAGATGAATGAGTCTACATTTACCTTTCACTCCAGAAGAAAACACAGTCTCCAGAGTGCATCAGACAACAATAGGATTGCAGTGTTGAGGAAACTGTACGCTCTCTGACCTATTTAAAGATGCAGCCATTTGCTTTTTCTCTTTTTTTCCTTTTTGAAACACTGTGGTTTCCTCTTTACATAAATGTCATGGCAGTGTGTATAATGCAAAATAGAGATAAAAAATAGGTTCAACTACATTTTTCCTTGCTTTTGTTCAAATCTGAAGTTCAGCAAGGCTATGACATATATTTAATATCACTGATATCCAGTTACAACTCACTGAGCAGCAACAAATAGCCACCGCCTAATAAACTGGCAATTACTTTTCATAACTAAGAATTTCATGAATCTGAACTTAAAAAAAAAAAGAAGGACTGAGAGTATCATTTTATTGTATTTAAGATGTGCAAAAATGTACCTTCCATTGCAAGCTTATACTCAGAAACAGAATGTTTGGAAGGAGGATATTGCATCTTTAAACAGCTGCAGCAGATTAGCAAAAACAGAACAGTGATCTTGGTAATTTATTTCAAGTGAGAGGGGGGGAAAAAAGTAAAAAAGAAAATACAGAGAACCCAACATAGTCTATCACTGTAAGGACAAAGGCAGAAGGGAGAGGCATACTAGCAGCACACAGGTCGGAAAGTTACAGACAAGGTATTTGCAAATCTAAAAGTCACATTTATGCCATGACCAATGTCAAAGTTTCATTAGCACTGTCAAGGTACATTAATGCTTAATTTCATGTTTTAACCTATGAAATCCATACAATATTGCTATTTTTCAAAGAAGTAAGGAAGCACTGATTGATAATATTAGAAATTTTTTTTTTAAATCCAAAAAGTTCATCTGCCCTGCCCTTTCTGTTTGTTTGAAAACTGATGCTTCTGATCAGGCAGCAAGACACAATTAAAACAGAAAATTACTGTAAACTTAACAATACTTAAAATTCTTAGTTTAAAAATTACTTCCATCCTAATAGTGATTGAAATAGATACTTAAGTAAATAGGGACATAAACTTTGAATAGAAGTAGTTAAATTTAATATCTTTCATAACTAGATTATGGACCCTCCTGTCCATCTGCTTCTGGCTTATGGATCTTCAGAGTGGAAAACCTACTGGAAAACCTTCAGTAAAAAAAATAAGCTATCAGTTACAAACACCTTTATGTTGGGTGAGCATGATAATGAAACAGAGGAAAAAGAGACTCACTATGACACTAAAATGCAGAAGGGTCAAGAATATCTAATGAACACAACTAGAAAAAGAAAAGAATCACAGACAAAGTTATTTGAGGTAAAGACTGTATTTTTATAAAATAATAAAAATAGAACTGAAATAATACTTGTATTGCTAAGTTAAAAATTGAAACTCAGCAATACAACATTTTGTTCTGTGATCCTTTCCCCCTCCCCCCTTCTTCAATTTTACTAACCTGGTCACAGACATTGAATGTGGGCTAAGAAAAAAACAAAAAATAAAACAAAAAAACAGATAATATGATATGGAGAGAAAAGCAACGTAAAGATTCCATTAAATAAACATTAAAAGTTTTCAAACAAATTTATAAGTGATGCACCTAGTTAACATAAAGCTATATACACATTATTACCTTCATAGGGATATTGGTTATTGTGGTTGAAGCCAGATCAAAGTGCTGCTGTACTAAAACATTCAGTTTTGTAGCCAGATGACGCCCAGCACGGACACTATGTACTTCACTGGTTAAAACAGGTGAAAGCTGGAACAAATTGACATAGAACATACAGTATTAATGGATTAAGCTCCAATATCATGTAGCAGAATACAAATCCTCTGAAAGTCTAAACTAAGCATGGGAAAAAGCAGGAAAAAAAATTAAAACAAAAAAAAGAAGTTAAGAAGGAAGAAATAAAAAATATTTCTCATACAGAATTCTCCAGGTTATGCCAGTTATCATAGTCGCAGTTGTTACAAGCTGTCACAAAATTAGAACTGTACTAAAAATTTGAGCCATTAATTGTTAATAGGAAAAATTAGTATCAGGGCACTGGGCAGGAATCCAAGAGTTGATGTTCTTAATAGCAGCTCTGGGTCCAAGTCTTTCCATCTCTTTCATCAGCTGATTAACTGGAACATAGTCATTTTTCTCTACCTGTCCGTGTTGTATATACACGCAAGAGAAAAACACAAGCTATAAGCTATATTTGATTTTGTTTTGCCAGCAAGTAGCACTGTTGGCTTTAGGCATTTGAAAAAAATGTGATAAAAATGACTGTCTTATAGAGAATAAAGGTAGTCAATTTATTCTCCTCTGTTCATAATTTTTTGTTTTAGCATGCAACTATGAGACAGCTCTTTAGAACAGTATCTTGGGAAGACGACAATTATATTCAATTTTACTTATGAAACAAGATGCGGAATTAGATGTCTATCATAATACAAGAAAAATGTCTCATTTTTAACCTTTTTTCTTCAGCATATTAAAATACTGAAAGAGAGCAGGCTGAAGAACAGTGGAATCTATCAGCGCATATTTTGCTTGTACTTGGTTTTAAACAACTACTAAGCATACAAGTTATTTACTTGCTCTTATTATTAGACACTTGGAATGTATACAGAATACTTACATATATGTTCTTACTTTTACTCTCTAACATTATTTTAAGAGGAGGTATCGATATAGTACTTAAATGAGTCTATGAACTTCAAACACATTCTACTTCCCTACAATATTACCCTTGCCTTTGGAAGCAGATAAACTTTCCAGTGTTTTTCATTGAGAAGATATTCTGACGGTTAACACTGGAACAACAGAATTCGTATAGAAACTCATTTTAGTTTCATGAGAAAACTTATCAACCAAGTAGTTAAAAATGCTAACACATTAGCTGGGATAACATGGAACATGCAGTGCTGAACAACATCCACATCATTCAGTAACAGATATTTGGGAAAACAGAGGCTTTAGCTACCTAGCACCGTATGTTTGAACGGCAGAAGAGTTATTGAACTAACAGATTCAGTAAGCCAAGTAGTAGTTAGTTTTTCCATTCGATTCTTAAACATGTACTTCCTTCTCAAAAGCCCCACAGTTTTATCTAGGGCATTAATACACTCGCTTCACAAGAAACTGAAACATGAATTATTACTGCAAGAAATTTAAGTAATGAAGTGGAAAAAGGGATACCACATACACATGCAGACTACAAAACAAGGAAACAATTATTACAAAAGATGCACTTCATTTAGCAACCTGTAAGTTGTCAGCTTTCCAAAGAATAGTCACCTATACTACTTCTTAAACCATACCAGAGACCAAAGGCTCAAAACCTTACTGCTGAAAACTCAACTTGCATTGTTTATTTTGAGTTTCATGTGGTTCCTAACACTTGGATAAGTTTTCCTCATTTTAAACTCCTTACCTCTTTCTTAGGACGATCTGAAACAAGGCTGTCTTCACCAACTGGGTAAGTGTGGATTAAGACCAGTTCACATTTCTGAATCTGCATTAGACTTAAAAACAAAAACGTTCTATTTCAGTAAGCCCACAGCACGGCAGAAATTATCACACAAATCAGATCAATTCTCTTCTCCCAAGATGCATCTGATTTTCAGAACACAGAACCACACAGAAATATATTATGATGTTCTGTTTCTGAAAGTATTTTGTAGAAACTAGGTTATATTGATGCTTTTCAAAAGCATGCACTTCAGAATGAATTCTTATCAGAATAAAAAAAAACATATATAACCTTTCTATCTCTTCAGACACAACTGCACTATATTTCTTTTTGGACAAATCAACAGAGCAGATCCTCAACCGACGTAAATTGTTCAGCTTCATTCAAACGGCAATTGACATTACAAGGGACTTGTGTCTCCAAGTGTTGTGCAGATGTTAATAAGGAAATTCCTGTGAACTTGAAAATAACTATCCAAATAACATGCTTACACACTAATGTGGCTGCAATTTCAAAGAGATAATGTGGCTGGAAATTCAGAGAGAAGAGGACATTGTTCCACATCCCCAGCTACAGGAACATATGAAAAAAACCATGTTATGAGATCACTTTTCCTTCTCTTCACTGGACTTAAAGCTTGATTCTCTATATCTTTTCTACATCTGTGAAATTGCAATTGCTGCAGGTAGATATAGACACTTAACTTGTGCTATTTAAGTGCCTCTGGAGCAATCAAGAGCGGGATCTCAACCCGCTACACACTGTGCAAGGCAACACGCAGTCCCTAGGCCAAAGGGTTCACTGTTTAATTAGACAAAATAAAATATGTATGGGAGTTAAAAAAAAAAAAAAAAACAAACAACAACAACAAACCCACACTTAGAGGAGGAGATGCTTCCTGTAGTTCCCTCTATTTCATGGGGAAATATCATTGCCAAGGAAGAATACATCAGATGCATTAAAAGTATGCAACAAGGAGTATGCAACAAGGCACAACTATGTGCCTTTTACATTTTGGAGCAAGATGTAAAAGGTAACAACCTAAAGTAGTATCACCCTGTGATGAAGGACAATACTGAAAAGCCAATGATTATGCACCTCGTGATCTAGCATCTTACGTTTCATATGGACACTCAAACAGTTCAAGGTAAGTTTCAGTATGTCTTAAGTGACAAAAATACACCCATATTTCTTAGAGGGCATATAACAGGCACATGCAACACAAGAGAAACTATGTTTGTGAAAAGTATACTCACTGATCTGAATTAGCTGCAAGCTTGTTGTGCTCATGAATGGTTTCCTGAACACAGTCCTCAAGCATCCGAACATGACTGTCACTAAAAGGACCAAGAAAGAAAGAAAAAAAACCTCTTTTTATAGGTTGAAATTTGGTTTTGCTGTTTATGCTTGTTCCCTTACGACAAGGGTCTCACCATTTTGGCACGTACAAAGGTTCAGCTTTCATAACTGTGATAAATTCCATGTGAAATTTTGATAAACTGTGATAACTTCTCAATATTTTAATAAAATTCTGCTTTGACCCAGGCACAACTCTAGACGAATGGATAGGGAGATATGTGCCAGCTGTAAATTATAAGTCTTGCAAAATAGCCTCTATATCCTGCAAATTCTGTGCGTTCATGGACTGAAAAGTTACGCTTATTTTCTAATTCAGTGGCAAAGCTTCTTTCATTCATTCATTCCTCCCAGTTAAATTGTGCTATTTAGCCCACCACCAATGCAGTAAAATCAACTGTTTTATTCAAAGCAACATGCTACTAAACGCTCTCTTATTTAAAGTGAGAAATTTTTGGTTGACTACTATAACAGACCTCCACAAATGAAATCCTTAATAAGTCAAGAAATGATCTACAAAAAGAAATGCATAAAAGCTAGTTATTGAAGGCACTAATTCATAATAAACACTGAAATACTAAGGCTTCTAAAAAAAATACGAAATTCTGATTTTTTTAATGGTACAAGCACATTCTCATACACACCTTTTTGCATTAGTAATACAGATTATTCTTCCTCTGTTTCCAACACGTTCCGCATTCTCCATGAGCATAGTTCGAGCCTCATGTTGGTATTCTGTAATTTTGCAGAGTGCTTCTACTGCTGCAACCAGACCATGAAGTATGCTGCAGCATTCTGGATCTGCCCTAGGATTAGGTGGCCCAACAGCTGCTAATGCTGCCATCAGCTAGTTAAAAAGAAAGAAATAAAAATAACTTTCAAAAATAAAATATCAGTCATTTGTTAAAGTGATCCGTTAAGAGAAAACTTACAGCTGTAACTTATTCAATATACAAATTAATACTGCTGGCAGAAAAGCAAACGGAGCAATAAAAAAAAAAAGTTGATAGTTTCCAGCCTTTTGGAAAATATTCAACTCTAAATTCTCCTTTTGCAAGTCATTTACTATACTTTCAGTGCTCACTGACAAATAATATGCACATGTACTATAGCAGAAATACTAACACTATTAATTGCCAGATGCTTTTGTTTTCTGAAAACTTGGAAATTCAGTTCCTTCCCACATTAAGTTTTTCAGAAAATGACTGTCCGCTTTGACACAAGACAAGAGTAAACAGGGTACAAACACTGTTTATTTACTGCTTAAAAAGTTTGTAAACTATTATCAAGCCTCCAACTTATTTGGGCAACCCAATAGGGCATTTTTAAAAATCCAATAACGTAATCATTCCAGACCAGATCTACTGACATTTTAATTCACTAAAATAATTTCATACTGAATATAATAAGAAGTCACTATTTATCCTATAATTAAATTAAACTAGACTTGCAAAACAAAAGAACAGCTACAGAGCATACCTCCTGCAAGTTCTGATCTTCTTGGGTCCAAGAATTCAAGACATGAGCCCCAGAATCACTCACAATGAAATTCACCTAAAAGGTTCAAACAAAAAAAAAAAGAAAAGAAAAAAGAAAAAAAATTAATGAATAACAGCAGCCAATCATAGCCACGAATTACAGCTACTTTCCTAAATCCAAACTAACATAAATTACACCTTATTCAGCTATAATTAACTGATATTCACAAGGCAAACTAAAACAAATAAGACAATAACAAAAATACAAAGACATTACTCCTGCTATATTCAGGTACCTTCATAGTAAAGTCATGTTTAACAACTCACTCTAAAGCTTGTAAACTGTTACTAAGTCACGCCTCTATACCAAGTTAGCGCTACAAGATATTATGGATCGATTTCAATAGTCTGGTAACACTTCTGGTAGTAAAGTATCTACCAAGCAAAGTAAATTCCAGTGCTGCAATACAGCAATTCATTTTGCAAACTCTGTCACAGGAGATCTCAGAGGGTAACTCAGGGGTAACTATCTAGCTAGGTATCATAAACATCAGATACCAGAATATGTTCTCAAGTTACCAAAGTGAGTTGGAAGGAGACATGCCTTCCCTTTCAATTTCAGTTTTTCATATCACAGAGACTTCACTTCAGCCAAATGATTTGATTCAGTTAAGCATACACTTAATATATGCCATCACGGGACTCCATCATATGATTAGATATTCTTCTAAACTGGAGTTTAAGCTAAACATATACTGTCTTAGGACTGGGACATGCAATCCATCAAGGCAGTGCAGCTGATGTGCACCAAATTGCTAACTACCAGAGCTGCTTGTTAGTGCTGTGCCTATTCCCCAGCTGCTCTGACGCAGCTGCTATTCCATTATCACTAGTTTGTAGCAGTAGCACTGTCACAGGTTTAACATCTATGTTTTTTAAGGGTAACCAAAGTTAGGACATTGCACAACGATTTACTCAGTAATCAGGAAAGACTGACTGACTTAGAGAACCAAGGATTAGTTGCCTAATTCACAATGCAATGTTACAGAACAGACTAGGCATGCTGGAATAGCACTGCCAGCCACCACAGACTGAATATCAGAGTAATTATATCAGTAGTCTGATCTGGTGCAATTTTTTAATTCCAGGATTCCCCTAAGTTTGGAGCATCAGAAAACCAGAAGTGATCAATCAATTCTTACTCTGTTTCCCTGTTTCAGTACTCCCTTATTATATTACTGTTTTCCTTGGAGAAATATAAATTTTGGTCTGTTTAAACTTGACATCTTATTTCATAACTAGAACAGTAACTTGACAGTTAACGGTGAAGTACCTGTTCAGAGGCGAGAAGCTTAGAGAAACAGTAAAAACAGCGCATCACATCATTTATATTGGCTTTCTTTTCCTATGTTCTACGCTCCAGGAATTTTACGATACCTAACATAGTCCATAACAGCCCTTACAAAGTTCCAAAGAAACAGGTCTCCCCTCTCATCCATGTGCTAAAGTATGTACATCACAAAAAAAACATATATTAAAGAGAGAGACTCAGGAGCTGCTGCTTAGCTACTACTAAAAGTAAGAAGTTCTGTTTGCTACAGCAGATCACGACAACTTGATGGGATGCCAAGCACAAGTTCTGATTAGAGTTTAAACACTAAGTTGATGGAGGTTTCTCCACGCACATCACAGAAGTAACTGATCTCACACATAACAGGCATTTATCTTCGAGAGAAATAAGGGGGCTAAATGATATGTTTTGTTCCTTGTAGCTTGGTCCAAATTATACTAACGTAACTCCAAAAAGGAGCGAGAGGACTTAGAACAAAGAAAGCTCTTCCAATGCTATGTTTTGCGTACATATGATTTATAGAGATCAAAAACATTTTCTTTCCTTGGTATTGCAGTTGTGTCAGTTTACACTTAGAGGGAAATGATACTACTCTGGAAACGCTTCCTAGTTTAAGCTGTAACTCTTCCCACTTTCTTCCAAGAAAACGCTTACAACAACAGTTTTGCTGTAAGTAAAACTATATGCCTAGCAAAATTCATCCTTCCGATATAGCATTTTTTCTGACTCAAAAGGAAGAAAGATCATCTAACACAAGGCAGTTTTCCACATCAAGTCTTAAGACATTGTTGTCTACAATCCCCATCAGCCCTACATTGGGATGCAAACTAATGCACTGCTCCAGTCTATGTCAGTCAAGTATCCCTCAACAAATATCAGTATCCTTAATCATTCCATCAGTTTTGCTTTTTAAGTTAGCTTGTTACTCATTAAGTGATTCTTGTCTAACACAGATCAACAAGAAGTCATGTAGATGCCTACAGGAGGGAAAGAAATATTCTTTTATAGAAGAAACTGGGTGCCAGGAAGCTCTCCCGCTTTTTCAAACTGGTAGTTTCAGACAGTTCCTACCACTTCCTACAGCCCCGCATTCCTTCAAAGTTAGCAATGAAAAACACAGGTAGCACTACCAGGTGTGTTTAGAACCAAAATTTGATTTAAAACAATACCTCACTCAAGCTTTTGTAAATTTAAAGAGCATGAGAACACAATAATCAATTTATACACTACCTTAAAGCTCCTCTCCCCATATTTTGCAACCAAGCACTGCGTGATACTAAGATGATTAAATGTCCCAAAAACAAATATGTAAAAGGATTCATTTACTATTCAAACTCTTTATAAAAGCTATAAACTTAATCAACAGCTCAAAGATATTTTTATATAATAAATTATATTTCACCTCTTAATACAACAGCTAAAGATAATAAAACAGCTCATTAAAATGGGAAAACATCCCTGTACTATGAAGTATTACCTGCAAAGTATTGCTAGAACTTACCAGTTTTTTGAAAGGAAAAATATCATACATTATTCTACAGTACTCCATGGATGATTCCACTGAACAGGTCCATAGTGATTTTGATATGGGTGCTAGAGGTATAATTCCTTGGGTCCGATTCTTTACTAACATATCAAATTCAACATGTTGTCTACAGGATTCTGCCATATATGGGCAGTGATCCACAACAAAAACAGTTTTATGAGACTCAGAAAAGATTTTCATTTTCTTCCTGAAATAAATAGATGTTAAAATTAGTAAGAAAATGTATAAGGCAAAAAAAAAAACACAGTAAAGCTCACTACACAATTTACATTGCATAAAAGTATCTTAATAGAACAGTAGAATACACAAGCTTTTAAAGAGGTTTCTCTTACATTATTTAGATCATATTACATTCATTAACTACTATAAAACTATGTGTAAAGCCTCTAAAAAAAAAAAAAGGAAATATATTCACTGAAAGAACCTATTTATTTGCATGGAGACAAAAATATTCCCTAGAGCTCTCTTCAGTCCTTATATTTAATATACGAGATTTCTACCCAGGAAGACACTAGTTTTCCTCAGGAGAAAAAAAAAAAAAAAAAACAGAAAATAAAATATGAATGTAAACTGTTGAAAAGCCAATAACGATGAACAATGTTACCCTTTCCCCCTTCCCTAATTAAATGAAACATTTAAGAATACAAAAGTACAGAACCTGCTTGCTATTTAAAACTTATTTCTTAAAACAAGGCACAGAAAAAGAAATCCTTCGTGGATTAGCCTATATAGATGCCAAAGCAACATGCTTTTTGGTAGATTTTTACTTAGAATTTAGACTTCACTTTGCTAGATAACACTAGTTATCCTTTTTTAAAAAATGAGTATTTGCATTCCTATGTTAACCTCTCATTGATACAAAGACCAGATCTTAAATTACTATAGCACCAATACTTCTTGTCTAACAAGACTCACAGAAACACCCCTTGTATGCTTTCCAACTGTGAACCCCGAGAACTCTGCAGCAAAGTGTGGTGTGTTTTCCTGCTTCACACCTACAGACTGGGTTTTCCTTTCACATCACATCACAGGAAGAAATACTTCTGAGGTCACTAAAGAATCTGGGCGCCATGTTCTGGACAGACATTATTATTTGGGGACACACACTACATATGAAAATAGATCTTAGCGCAGCGTTTGTAGGTGTCTTTCTTTCAAGTTCACCTCGCCTTTGGGTTTGGCTGTATCGTTTTTAGTATTTAAAGACAAAAATTTTTTTATTATTTATTATTATTTATTACTGCTGAGTGACAACGGACTATGCAAAAACAAGATATCAGACTCCTTGAAAAAAAAAATTGAGAAAATAGCCGGGCTGCCCCCAACTCGAGCCGACGGCGGCAGCACCCTGCTCCGCACCCCCTC